TACAAGCTGCATCGTCTGTCTAGGGAGAGTGGGTTACCCTGTCTCTCCTGGGGAGACTCGTGCCCATGTTGTGTGAAAAACTCTGCACGAGCACCTAAGGAGGCTTACCTCCTTACTAGCCCGTGGTGGCGCGTACGTATCTCTAGTGAGATGTACGAAGGGATTGACAACCTGAAATCCCTTTACGACCGTGCCGGGAAGAATTTCTCCGGCGGTCCTTCTGCGGCACAGGATGTGCCGCATCGTACTGCTCATACCAGACCCAGTACGTCAACCATCAGTTGGGAGCGGGGCTCCCAAGAATCCCAGGACGGAGGATAGCCGCGCCATCGGACGAGATAACTCGTCCGACGTCCGTTCACGTCGCGGTGGTTCAACAGCTGCTCAACTAGATAGCGCTGGCCACCGCGAGAGTCCTCTAATGGAGGTGGAGGAGGAGGAAAGACGCTCTCCACACGATCATGTGGATCGGTGTGTTCCCGAGAGCTTCTTTGATCGCGTAACGCAAGGGTTACGCGACGATCTCGAACATGAGCGGAATAGGCGTCTTCAACTGGCGGACGCTGTCTTGAAGCATCGAGCTGAGTTTGCTTTTGCTCAGATTGAGAACGAGAGAGCTTTGACATCTCTGCGTGACGAGCTAAGGGTAGCTCGTGGGATTGTTGATCGGTCTCGGGATGAGATAAATGCTCTTCAGACCCTTGTCGATGCCCATCATCGGGAGCACAAGGCTCCCTGCAAGATGCTTGAGCGCAAGGGCGTTCTTCATCGGAAGAAACAGCGTACTGATGGTACGGTTTAAGCCGACCAACGTAAAACGTGGGATGCGTTCGCATCTTACGTGGCAGTTCGATTGTGTATGCGTTGCCTAGGCGATGCAATACACGAAATGGGCCGATGTACTTGGGTAGTAGTTTACTGGTAGATTAACCGTAGACAGTAGGACTAATTCACCTTTGTTAAATAAAAGAGTGTTTGACCTTCCGTTCTTGTCAGCGTTTTGCTTTTGCTTATCCACCGCTTCGGCGATGGAGTCTTGCACAAAACGGACTACCGTTTCACGAGCCAGTATGAACTCATCTGATGACTCGTTAGCTTCAGTGCGCTGTGAGTGCACTGCAGCAACATCAATCGTTTCTTCAGTGAGGGCTTCCGCACTCTCACTGGGATCATCTTCTTCAGTGAGGGCTTCCGCACTCTCACTGGCATCATCTTCTTCGATATCGATGTTATCGATATCGGCATCAAACGCAATGACTTCTTCGTCAGAGCGTGATGAGCGTGAACCAAATCGGTTTTTGCTCGCGCGAGTCCCTCCCCCCCTTAAACCAGAGTTACACTCTAGTAAGGTGGGTACACGCGGATGGCGCAAGCCATTCACGTAAAACGGTGTATGTGTCGTGGACGCATGCACCGAGTTGTTAATGGCAAACTCTACCATTGGCAAAAACTCACTCCAACTCTTAAAGGAGTGTACGTATCCTCGAAGTATCTCTTCGAGGACACGATTGGCACGTTCCGTCTGACCATCTGACTCTGGATGATCAGATGTTGACATCTTCAAGCGCGTTCCGAGTGATTTGAACACGGAACGCCAGAAATCAGCAGTGAATCGTGGATCTCTGTCTGATACGAGTTCACGGGGCAACCCATGAAGTCGGAAGATGGTGTCGATAAAGACACAAGCACAGCCACTTGCCGTGATTGTCTCTGGTACAGCCACAAGGTGTACCATTTTGCTGAATCTGTCAACAAATACGAGAATACCCGTATTCCCGCGTGCGTCTTTGGGTAACCCGAAGACGAAATCCATTGAGATGGATTCCCAGCACTCAGCCGGAACAGGTAGAGGCTGTAAAGGCGCACGCAGTGAAGGACTTGACTTCACTCGTTGGCAGACTTCGCATGCGCGAACATACTTTCGCACAAACTGATACTGGCGGGGCCAGTAAAAGTCTCGACTTACCGTGAGATATGTTTTCTCCCGGTCACGATGTCCTCCTATAGGAGCATCGTGATACTCGAACATGATCCGCAAACGCAGATCAGTATCTTCTGGAATGACAACACGTGGTGTGTCATCAGTAACGGCTGTATAATACAGTAAACCGCCGCGAGTAGTGTATCGATCTGATGCAGATCGATACGCAGACGATAACCGTTTCAACGATTCTCGAGATGGATGTGAGAGATGTGTCAACGACTTCACAATCTCACCATCTTGGGCGTATGTCCGCCTCACATCATCATACAACGTTGAAGATGGGACTGAGGACGTCATAACCGCAACAGTGGCTGTTGGGTTTCGCGACTGTTTCAAAGTCGGTACGACGTGAGAGTGCATTAGCGACGACATTAAGCCGTCCTGGTTTGTACTCTACCGTAAAGTTGTATTCTGCAAAGAATGACAACCACCGCGCCATTCGTTGTGAAAGGTGCGGGCTGTTCACTGCGGTGCGTAACGACGCATGGTCAGTGTAAGCAATGAAGGGTCTATCTCCTAATAGGTAGACTCTGAACTTCGCGAGTGCATACTTCATGGAAAGGAGTTCCTTGTCATGCACTGGATAGTTCCGCTCAGCTGGTTGCAGCTGACGCGGCTGATAGCAGACGACGCGTTCAACGCCTTCAAGATCGTACTGCATTAATGCACAGCCGATTGCGAAACCGCTGGCATCACAGACCACATGAAATGGCCTGTCCTGATCGGCTATTGCTAGGACTGGGGATTGTATCAAGCTCTGCTTGATACCATCAAAGGAGCGCTGACATTCAGCGTTCCATAACCACCTCTCGTTCTTTTTCAACAAACGAGAGAGGTGTACAGTCATCTCGGCGTAATTGCGTGAATACTTATGCAAATACGCCGCTAGCCCAAGGAATTTTCGAAGACCTTTGACGTCAACTGGCACAGGCCAGTCGGTGATCGCCTTGATCTTTTCGGGATCAGGGCGTACACCGTTCTTACCAACGATGCACCCAAGAAGTGGTATTTCGCTTGCTGCAAATATACACTTCTTGAGATTGGCATACAATTGATGATTTCGCATGATTGTAAGAAGCCTGTCGGACGTGGTACCTGTGAACCTCAACATCCGACTTTCCATCCATAGCCCGACTATGGATGAATACGTCATCGAAATAACTCGGCGCGAATTCTCGTACTGGTCTCAACAGATGTGATACACATCTGTTGAACGTGGCAGGGGCATTACTAAGCCCTTTTGGCATTACTAGCCGTTCCCAGAGCATGCCGCTAGGCGTGCTAACTGCGGTATAGGGTATATCCCATTCTCGCATAAGGATTTGATAGAAGCCATCCATCAAATCCATGGACGAAAAGATGGTACTCTTTGACATACCATCAATGATTACGTCCTTCCTTGGTATCGGCGTCTGAGCCAATACCGTTGCAGCATTCAACTTGTTAAATGCATGCACAATCCGCCACCCTCCTGTTGCTTTTCGCACACAGAAGGTCGGAGAGCTATGTGGGGAAGTTGATTCCCTCACATGGCCCGCAGCTAAACGATCGGCAAAGAACTTGTCGATCGCAAGTACTTGTTCACGAGGCAGTGGCCACTGCTTCATGACACAGTACTTCGAGCCTGGTTTAAGCTCGACCTCGTGTCGAATACCTTTATCCTTCGGTAATTCGCACGGAACAGTTTCAGGGAATACATCCTTGAATTCAACCAAATCTTCATAGAGAGGATTTGTCTTGAGCGATTCCCACGATTGGGAGTCATATCGCTCAATTCGTGTCTTTTCATCTAGGACACTCTCGTCCATAGATGAACTACTGAGAACTCTCTCGTTCTCAGTAAACACTGTTGCTGACCTTATGTCGGCTACACACTCGTCGTCAGCGACGAGTACGCAGATCTGCTTGACTTTGCCACTACGCAGATCACGCAAGAACCTTTTATGTTCGAGCGTTGGCAACTGAGTGATCTCCGAAGTTAACTTCGGAGGCGCAATCAGATTAAGTGTGTAAGCGCCCACACTTGATTCATCATTGACTATGACATTCGATGTCTCTGTCATTTCCTGGGGACTTATTCCCTCAGGCCTCGAAGGACTTATTCCTTCGGCTTCCCGGGGACTTATTCCCTCGGGTTTCGGGGAACTTATTTCCGCCGTATTTGTAATCTTGGGACTTATTCCCTTTACTTCCTCTAGCTGGGGTTGCGCAACCACAGCGAGATCCTCTACGAAAGACTCTCCAGCTGATCTAGGATTAACGTTTCTCTTAACCTGAGCGATCAATTGTTTCTCTTCTAGATGTTCCCCGCTAGGGATACATCTTTGTCCCGGTCCACTCGACTTATTCGAGCGGTGGACCTTCGGCGCAGCCTGCGTTTCCTCACAGCCGCCGGAACTTTGCTCCGAAGTGTAACCGTTTGTTACACTAAGGTTTTGTGCAGTCGTACTAACGACCGTACCACAAGTGATGCCATCGCACTCACTCGTAGTACATCCACACGCTTGTGGACGCTCCAAAACGTTCATCAGATGGCCATCTGATGAACAAGCGGCAGGCATCGTTACTGTCCGATGTTGCCAGTTTACCCGTGGTTCGTACCTTCTGAGCCACGGTATTCCAAGGATGACATCAAATTTGTCATCCAAATCCAATACGATAAAGTCATCGTCATATTGGGTATCTTCTAGCGTATAGTGGATCTTCACTATACGCTTCATGACGGTTACGGATGCGCCTGTCGCAAGACGTACCGTCATCCTCGTAGGAGGTGTGTCACATTCACTGAATTTAAAGTGACCATCTTCTAGCGATTGGCGTCGCACAAAATTGTTGGACGCCCCACAATCGACTAGAGCTCGAAGGGACAACTTATTCGTCACTTCGAGTTTCAAGGTAATGAGTGAGACCTCATTACCTAGAGCAGCAACGCACAACGTTTGTGTGTTGGGAGCAACCTTCATCAAGAGGCCTACAAATTCTCTTGACGTTGCTGGACCAGTAGGGTGCTCCGCACCTACTGATCCTGTCCGTTTTTTGACGGTCCATCCCGTTGTTGCGTCTTTGCACCAACAGCGGACCCTCGTCCCTGCCCCTTTCTCATGGGTGGACGGTCACTACGCCCAGTGTTGCGAGACACTGGACGAGGGGCACTACACTCGTAAGCGTAGTGTCCTGTCTTTTGACATCTGTTGCATCTCTGCAACTTCTTGTAGCCTGTAGAGCGAGCCTTCTCGCTCTCTACATAACAGAGTTCCATCGGCTCTGGACCTCCGCTGTCATATCGTCTCGGTTGACGATACGATGATGTCGAGCTGGCGCGAGCCTGTCTCAGACTGAAGTCTTCCTGCTCCGCAATGGAAATGGCTTGTTCTAGTGAATCTAGTTCAAGCCGGAACAGGTGAGTCTTGACGGGACCATCCGCAAGACCCTGCATGAACACCGAAACCAACGTGTGTTCATCCACCGGATTGGAACTTATACAACTCGTAAGATGTCGTATATGTTAGGCGTAAGCGTGCACATCACGCTTACCCTGTTTGAGCTTCAAGAGTTCGATTCGAGCCCTGAACTCAGCTCTAGGCGGTTCAAACGTTTGTCTGAGCCGCGACTTGAAGACTTCCAACGACCCAAACGCATATGGGTCGTGCAACTTGAGCCCCAGTGCCCAATTCTTGGCACGTCCTGCAAGATTTGATTGGGCAAATGCAACTTGCATATGGCCGTCGTCGATGCGACGCGCCCTTATGGCGTCATCCAATTCGACGAACCATCTCAAGAGGGAGTCCTCTTCGACTCCCCTATACTTGGAGATGTCAATCTTCAAGGTCTCGGGTCGACGCGAGTGCATCGACCCACCAGCAGCAGCCTGCTGCTGTCTCAACAGTTCAAACTGTTGAGCACCCTGTTCTCTCAACAACTCTGCTTGTTGAGAACCTTGTTGGTGAAGCAAGGCTACTTTCTCGCGTTCAGCGTCATGTTCATTTTGAATGAACTTGGCGATAGTAGCATGTTGGGCATCTCTATTGAGAGCCTCTAGCATGACGCTAACAGCATGGATGCCCATGGTTGAACCCATTCGTTCAACCACATCCCATTCGACATCGCTCAAATGGGAGTAGCCGTCACGCGTAGCGTGAAAGCTTTGGTCATCTTCATCATCCAAAATTTTCATGCTAGATGTGAACGTGGTCCTTGGACGGACTACGAAGTGCTACCAGGTGTAACGGGGCACCCTGAAGCTTGTACTGGTGACAGTACAAGCTACTTATTCTGATGAAAGAATAAGGCGGTGCCTCGTAACTTCACGTACACTCGTACGTGCAGAGGAAGACGGTAAGAAGAAGCGAGTACTTATTTTATGTACCGGGTTGGGTCGTTACATAACAATTTATAAGAAATTGTTAGTAGAATATAACTATAAGAGTTGTATTCTCAGAATATTGTCATAAGGACAACTAATCTGCAGCACTTACGAGTAGTTTCCTAATTGGTTGATATAGGCCATTATATCAACCAACGAAGACGCGCCACGACAGGCGCACGCAATGAGTGGTGAGCAGATATTTGATGTACACATTTGTATTTAGACATAGTTAGATGAAGATAAATAGTGATTTATTGCAGACATTAACTATTATAAATTCTATTCTACTTTTTACTTAAACTAAGTACTCGCTTCTTCTTACCGTCTTCCTCTGCACGTACGATTGTACGTGAAGTTCCGAGGCACCGCCTTATTCTGTCATCAGGATAAGGAGCTTGTACTGTCATCAGTACAAGCTTCAGGGTGCCCCGTTACAGGAGCGAGAACATGCATACGCCATGAAGAGCGTAGCCGCTCCGTGCCGTTTTTCTTTTACAGCATGCTCAAGGACTTCACTCACTTGCTCCATGCCCACGTGGCTTACAGTGCTCGCAATTGATGTGATCAACGTCCGCGACCACTCCAGGTGCATGCAATTTCATCACAGTGTTTCGTGCCGTCGCAGTCTTTCAGCAGCAGTGACAAAGGCTGGCCAATGCCATTAGCAGCATCCAGTGCCGCTATTGTATCATGACGAGAGACAGCGATGAGCAGCGAGACGCAAACTTCATGACACGGTTAATGCGTGAGCGTTGCCCACAATACAGACGATGGGCCTGTGACGGCGTGTACCTTTGACGCGAGTGTCAAAACTTGAACAATGCGAGACAAAAGGGACTTCAAGTCGGCGGGGTCATCGATTCATTTCCGCGAAATGTCGTGGCCTCACTGTGGACGCTTTCGAGGAAATCAAACGACTTCTTCCACTGTTTGCACCGTGCCGGTGACATATGATCGTACGGGGCTGTAGGCGCGATTCTTAACGGATTGCACTGAAAGCAGGAGTCCGGCTGGCTGCGATAGATGGCGGTACTTCATGCGGTCAAACGACTATAGATGGCGGTACTACATGCGGTCAAACGACTGACTAACTACAGCATGTTGACTACACTGTGAAGAAATACATTCTCGTTCTATCGCGACAACGGATACGTGCTTGATCCCTAGTGCTTGTTTATTTACGCACTTATAGCAACGATGTTTGATAGGACGCTAGCCATTCACTCTTCTAAGGTTTCGATGTTTCTCGGACAGTTTGGCAAAATGCACTGAAACCGATGAACACGACGCCGACACCATCAGCTTTTTGCTGTCTAATTCCAAGCACATAAAACGCGACCCACATTGAACAGGTCTGAGATCTTAGCGGCGCTGGCTCCAAGCCATCACAGAGGCAAAGACTCGACCAAAAATGGCGTCGCGAGTGGGGTATCCATGATTCAAACGTGATCATGTTGTAACCGTGGGTTGAACCATCCGAAAACTGTCGGTGTACGCCACAATCGCTGAAATACGAAGCATATGCATGCTCGATCTAGCAAAGCAGCGAAAAAGTCTAGTCAATGTCTTATGTGATAGAACCATCTGTCGAATCCAGCTACTTTCGTTCGCACAGGAACTAACATGAGGTGGATAAGTGCCAGACCAAAGCAGAAGCAGTATGATCGGTTCTTTAATGGCGAGCAAGGAAGACTATAGCGGCGTATATAAAAATCTCAGTCAGTCCATGCGCTCGAAACAGCAAGAAGCTGAGAGACAGGGCAGTAATTCCGTACGTTATACACTCCGTGAATCGAGGTGAGCCTGTCACAAGTAATTGACCCGTAAACTTTTAAATCAGATTATTTTTAGAAAGGTTGATAATGCTCGTAAATATTACCATAAGGGGTGATATTCAGAAACGCTCACCGATCGGCTGATCTGTGTCATTATATCAGCCAGCTCTAGCGGCCCAATCAGTGACGGACGCGCGCAATGAGTGGTGAGCGAGACTTTAGCATCATTCTTGTGGATTGACGTAATAAAGTCGAGAGTAAACCATAGGTTGACGATTACGACTTAATTATAAATAATGCATTTTGCTTATACCTACCACTAGTTAGTTCCTAGTTGTTTTTCCTGTCTCTGCATATTAAATAGAAGTAGCGAGGTACCACTTACACTGCTGTCGGTGAGAGTAGCTCCACACTGATTGTCCAGTGTGTTAATACGGTTCCCCATTACACCGAATACCACTTTGTAGTCCGTCCAAGAACCACAGAATCCGTTCCGCATAAAACACGTTAACCGATAAAGGCGACAAACTTTTTCACGGCTATCATGAAAGTCCATTCTATTTAAGTGAAGTTAAATGGAGTACGGTCGAACGAATGAGTGCGGTCGAACGAATGAGTTCGACTGTTCGCAAAGAAGTTATCCGATCTCTGATATTATCATAGATAGGAACCAGCAGCATTCCGTAATTTTTAAGTTCTTGCAACGAGAACATGATGCGTCGCGAGTTGAAGTGACTCTGCTGCATCAATAAGGACACCAATAGACTGAGCTCTTAAAACAGCAACAGTCTTAGTCTGCTTCTGCTTCTACAGCGTCGGCGCCACGCGAGACTCTAAGTCAAAAGTCTACAAGTACCGGGGACTTGAGGAAGTTTCCCTGCTGAGATAGATTCATAAAGTTAAAGATGCGATAAAGGCTTGCTATTTTTACGATAATAAAATGTAAGTTGTAAATGCCGAATTGAATTTGGCATAGCGTGCCAGAACTTGGGCCTCATATCTTCAATTACACAATTTAAACGTGTCCGAATAACTATTGGCCTCTAAGACTCTGCTCAGCCGAACGGTAGAGCCTCCAAGCGCTAAGTATAGGACTCTTTCAGAGCTCCTTAAGTCAAAACAAGGTCATCGTGACGTGCACGCATATGCTCAGCACAATCGTTACCTTGTAAGTTGCATGGTAGTGAACCCTGTAAGTGAATTGTCTTTAATCACCTTGTTCGAATAGGATTTAAAGATGATCCCGTGAGGAATTACCTGTTCCGCATCGAGTTGAAGTTGCTTGGGGGACCGATTACAACTGCGGTACAAGCGAACTTTAGTGTGAGACAGGTTCACACTAGCTCGACCCCCTATCGTCCTTCGAGATGAGTAGAGGCGGGGGGGGGTCAGAGCCAATGGATCTTTACAGCTTTAACAGAAAGATACCTCTCTCTTCGAGCAGTAAGCGATAAGAATTGTATAATCATTGTTAAAAGGTAGGATACTAAGTCGACGAGAGTAAAGTGATCTACCGTCATCCAAGAAAGACAACGGATGCGGTTCCGACGCCGTTGCAATTTCTCAACAGCGTGGCGGGCCGTGAAGAAAAGAGTAGGGTCAGAAGGGGCGAATCGACCTATTGATTAGCAACCTCAACAATTTTTTAAATCTATTAACGAAAGTTGATCCAGACTCACATTCACTGTGCGTCTCTGCACTTGGTGATGAGGATTACCTTATCACCTGGGACTTTTAGGTGGCAAAAGATTTGTCACTCAGCGCCTTAGTTGATTGTGGGTGTCAAAAACTTTAATTTGTCACCAGTTGCTAGACGATGGTGGGCTTAAATTCGTTGAGCGCAAAATTTCTCTTAAGAGAATGAAGGTGCGCCATGTAACTTGCGCATCGATAGCAGTGATGAAACGTGTAGTGGTATTTCACTGAACGCTAGAAGGTTCGCAGTACAATGATAATTATATCGTACTTGATTTAGGTGACAAACTTAATGTTATTATAGGGTTACCCTGGCTCTGTGGATACGAGCCAATAGTCTGCTGGCGGCATCGAAGAGTGAAGATGCCTTTAACTTCTTTATCAAATGTCCATCTGACGAACGTCTTGGAGCGTCCGAAAGTGAGAATTTTACTGCGGTTGAGTGCGATGGCCTAATTTGCGGGACAGTCATCAGTGCAACTTTACATGATCACAGTATGACAGCTAATCGCTCTGTAGAGGATGCTAACAGCGGCTGTGTGGATGCACAGGCAGAGCCAAAGGTCTACAAGTCGAACAAGTCGAGTGGATAAGGACATG